AATATCCACATGTCTACCCCACTTTTATAATTTTCGAATCATAAATTTATCGATTAGATTTATGATAGACTTTTGAAACTACAAGAACATAAGGAGGACTTTTACAAAAAAGTAATAGAGGTTTTTGTCCAGAAGGATAGGCAAATGGACTTCATCTTCAAGTCAAGGTAAGACCGCAATTTTATTGAAAATGGGATCTTACTAAGAGAGAACAATCCAATATTGAAATGATAAAATTGAATTTTTTGGGTATCCTTTTGTTGAACTGTCTGTTTAAAATTAATTGAAGCATCAGACAAAAAAAGCTTTTGAAAATAATATTATATTTTGATTTAGGTCAAAATATAGTCAGTGGCAGTGCCTCACCAGCCATGAACCTCACTGCAGAAGCTTATAGACATCTAAGAGTTTTGTGCCCCACCACTTTTATACATATAGAAACACCACTGCAAAGACAACATGCTAACGTGAAGCTAATAGCTAACGTCTAACCCTATCGTCTATTCCTTGACCTCTGAGTGAACGTCACGGGGTTAAGGAATAGTGGATAGGAGAATTCAAAAGGATTTAGGAGAAGAGACTGCGGTACTTTAGAGAATCCGAATGCACTTTCACTATCCGACGTGTTTATGATGAGCCAGCGGACGTCATAAATGTGCGTCTGCTGCTGTGGGGAAACTATGGAAACTACAGTTTTCTATACAGCGGACTACAACATGGATGTTTAATAAGAACGAGGGACTACTGTAAACTCATCTAGAGACTCTGCACCGTGCTCTGATGCTGTTGTTTTATGCTTTATGAACGGGGACAACAGAGAAACATATTCTTCATGACCAAAGTTGGAATTGAAATAAAAAAGGAAAGTGAAACTTATGCTCGTCACCCTCTCCCTCCGGTCCACATTAATACAAATGATCCCAATACGTATGATTGTATGAACTATGAAAATATCTTAAAATCAATACAGATGTATTTATTATAAACGTTAGTCCTTAACATCTATCACTGTGTATATCACCATTCAAACATCTTTTAAAAGTTGAACAAACCCCATGCAGCTCAGTAAACACTGTGAAATGTTGACTTTATTTGATCATTTCAGTAAAAACTAACGTTCATATTTCTCTTTTTGATTATAATACTGATGAACGTTCAAAACAAAGCACTTTGGCAACTTACCACATACGTTTAAAAATGCTTAATAAGCACCGTAACTTTCATGATATCATTTATCGGTCATCGTTTGTTTCTGTGAACGGCCGACTGTTGAGTGATAGCAAATGCTGCGGCCGCAAGGCATTGTGGGGCAGCATTTTCTCCTCTCCTTTCATCAAGGGAGGTCCAGTGGTTCCTAAGCTAAAGGAGGTTATAAAGGAAGTTTGAAACATCCTTTCCTATCATCTAGAGAATTCGAACGGCACTTATCATGGCTGCCACTGAGGGACTTCCGGGCATACTTGCCAACCCTCCCGATTTTCGCGGGAGACTCCCGATTTCATTGCCCTCTCCGGTTTCCTCCCGGGGTCATATTTCTCCCGCATTTCTCCCGATTTCTGAACAAATCAGATTTACTCAGGACTGTTTCCACTCGGACTACAGCTACACCATTGTTTGGTTTCCATGGTAGCGCGTCTCTTTAGTAGCGCGCACAACTGAAAGTCTGAGAGGGTGAGGAAGATACAGGTCCAGCCCACACATATGCTCCATCAAGGATGGTGCTACAGGCCGCAAGGCAGTGCACTTACAACTACAATAAGCATGTTAGTTAATGTTAATCCAATACAGCTCCGGCGATCCACGAGCACTTTAGTAACAGGGGTATAAGGCATGCTACAATGGGTGATCTGTTTGGTATTTTGAGCAAAACGCTTCGCTTTGTATCGATATATGGCCCTATAATATATTGTTCAAATAAAGCATAATAGGTGAGCTTTAAGTTAACGTTCCTATGTAAAGCTAGGGTGCGTCAGCTGACGGCTTTTCAGGAACAAGACCCCTACAGGAAACATGCTTCTGTGTGTGTGTGTGTTTGTGTATGTGTGTGTGTGAGACAGAACAATAACACTTAGGCCTCGTGGGGACTCCAATTATAGCTTATCTGCACCATCGCTGCTATTTTCAGACTGCATATGTACAGTCTGAGTGTGTGTGTGTGTGTGTGTGTGTGTGTGTGTGTGTGTGTGTGTGTGTGTGGTGTGTGTGTGGTGTGTGCGTGGTGTGTGTGTGTGTGCAAACCTCTGGCTGTTCACATTAAAGCAGTGATGCCCTTGAACCTTCAGAACGAACTGACACTGTGTGGGTGCGGTGTGTGTGTGTGTGTGTGTGTGTGTGTGTGTGTGTGTGTGTGTGTGTGTGTGAGGCTGTCCCAATGATTAAAGCTTGATAAATCACCACCACTGTGTCTGAATATTTCCGTCTTCTGCTGCTGCTGAAGGTCGCCACTGAATACCGTAAATCCTCTAATACAGCTTAATGCAAATAATGTCAGAGTTCCCGAGGAAAGTAAAGCAACATGAAGATTTAACCCTTGTATCGGTGTTCATATTTGTGTTACTCAGCCAGTGTTCGTGGGTCTGGTGGACCCGCTGCCTTTTTGGGCTTCAATTCAACACAATCAAACTATTTTATGTTTAAAATACTCAACAGATGTTTACTTCATCTCAATTACAAGCAATATAAACAGCATATATGGTTAATGTTTGCCCTTTTACATTTGTTAGATCACATGAATGAATTAAAGTGCTGCTTGTTTAGTAGTGGCTGGTCCTTTGGCTCGTCTTTTTGTTGTATCTAGCTGATGCTCAATCTCATCCTCAGACTCAGAATTCTCAGAAATGTGATCCTCACATTCTGGAACCTCTTCCTCTTCCTACATCATCATCAAATGGTTCTCTGTCTTCCAGAATCATTTGCAAGGCCCTCTGAGCAGAGAATCTTTTGGCCATCTTGATCAGCTGTGACCCAAAACTGACCCAAACTGACCCAAACTGGCGAAGCTATATTTATTGTGTCTTGACCCAAATTTGCAGCTTGGATAGAGTGTGAACAAAATAAAGATTGGTTCCCGCAAAACATAATGCGGGAATGTGAGAGCAGACAGGTGTCCGTGGTTGAATTTATCAACAATGTTGCAACCTTGTGCGGGCATGGCAGGGGCAGAAACACAAAAGTCTCACACACACAACACACACACACACACACACACACACAACACACACACACACACACACACACACACCCCCTCCCCCCCTCTCATGCCATGCAGACTTAAATCAGGACGTTGACCTCAGGTGTCAGTGTTTCTGATGCCAGCACAGTGACTGTGTGTTTCTGCATGCATAAATACACAGTGTGTGTTGTGTGTGTGTTAGCAGTAGAGCACGCCAGCAGCGAGCCACGTTACCCACAATCCTCTGGGATCTCTGGCTCTAACCCTGAGTCCATCTGTGCTGTGTGACCGCTCACCAACACTAACCTCACCTTCACTTCTCTAAAAGCTGGAATTGAACTCGAACATCACACAGTTAATGAATGTCTTCTTAGAGAGTGAGAACCTCAGACCTCTTATGAGCACATGAATGCACCACAGGCTTCATTTACACACAGTGAGATGAATGGATGCATTTTTACACAGTGGATTCAACTGAGTGTGCTTAATGTGTTTTATTTTGACTCAGGGACGATATGGTTGTTATTCTTTCCAATATTAATCACAGTTTATTTGCATGGCACATTATTACATTAATATAATGATATAATATTATAGATTGATAGTGACAAAAAATAAATAAAAATCTTAATTTGAATAAATTACATTCTATTTTGTATTCTATTTTATAAATTCAATTTTGCTTTTGTCATTTTTATGAAAAAAAATGTATTTGATAATATTAACAATATACATATTTTTATACTTCTATTTTGCATATGTATGTATATATTTCAATAAAATGAAATATATTTCATTAAAAATACAATACAATATTTTAATAAACATGGAATATAATAAAATATAAAATAATAAATAAATTATAATATATTAAATAACAATATATTAATGAATATATATATATAAAAAAAACTATACATATTTAAACTAGATAATATATAATATTTTATGTATATATTTTACTGCAGACTACACAGACTAGACACATATAAGAGACGAGTGACATCAAACCATCCTGACACGCACACACACATTCACGCACGCACGCACGAACGCACGCACGCACGCACACACACACACACACACACACACACATTCACGCACGCACGCACGCACGCACAGCACACCACACACCACACACACACACACACACACACCAACCACACACACAGCACACACACCACACACACACACACACACACACACACACACACATCCCAACCAACCAACCACACACACACACACACACACAGAAGGCCCAGACAGGTGGCGCAGGACCTACAATCTCCACACTTTTGTTTTTTTAACACCCTGTATGTAATGTAAATGTGTAGGGGGGGGGGGGGGGGGGGGGTACAGTGGGTGGTCATTGTTGTCATGTTCTTATATATGTTTCTTCACAGAAAAATGAGCCCAAGGGCATTGAGTGTGGGTTTGAAAAGAGAATGTAATCATATCATTTTCTTTAGCTAAGGTCCCCACAGACCCGAATACCATACAAGGGTTCAACTCTGGGGCTAAAGACAAGGGTCTGCAATGTTTTACAGCTCAAGGACCCCCTACTAAATATACATGAATAACATGTAAATGGATATTTAACTGCGTCTACAATAAATGTTGTGTTGCACAAACTCAGAACTGTATCTGATGTTTGAGTACATGTGACTCGTGCTGTTAACACTGAAGAACACCCAGATCTGATTGAAATATGCACAAGCAAACTAGACTAAGATCCCGGCCTCTTCCGGACAGTTTATACTCATCAGCTGCACACAAAGTCGGTATAACTGTATTACAAAAAAAGAAATGTTTCCGGATAGTTTCATACCTTTTAATTTTGAGCGAACTTTATGGCTGTCTTCTTGATGTCAGCTTGAGGTCCTCCAGCTCCTGCTTGGTCTCTGCAAACACAAAAATAGAAAGATTAAAAAAAAGTATCCTTTCACAATAAAAGTCCCCTTGGCTTATAGTAACAAACGTTCTCTTATTGTAATGCAGTTTGTGCTGCATGTCTGCTAATATTATAATCATTGTTATGATCATAATATTCAGTGTTATTATTAATGCATATCTTTTTTACAATAATATCATAATATGTATTAATGTTATATTTAAAATAATATATTATATATTTATATTATAATATTAAGTATAATGCAGTTATTATTTTGAACTGTACCTTTAAGAGTCTCTACCATTTTGATTGATTTATTTTGATTTTGATTTAGATCTCCACTTATGTAACTCTGTCTGTCACAAGAAGAAGAAGAAGAAGAAGAAGAAGAAGAAGAAGAAGAAGAAGAAGAAGAAGAAGAAGAAGAAGAAGAAGAAGAAGAAGAAGAAGAAGAAGGTGGTTGATGATGTGTGTGCAGAAACAGTAACATCACATGTGTGTGTGTGCATGTTGTGGTGTGTGTGTGTGTGTGTGTGTGTGTGTGTGTGTGTGTGTGTGTGTGTGTGTGTGTGTGTGTGTGTGTGTGTGTGTTTGTGTGTGTGTGTGTGTGTGCTGCAGCAGTCAGATTTACGAGCGCTGCAGTGCGCCCCCCCCCCCCCCCCGCTCTCTGTCTGACCGCCTCCTCCGCTCTATTGGCACGAGAGGCTCAAGCTCTAACCTGATACGGAAGAGAATAACAATGAAAACATTGGGAAACGTTTTTTTTACAAATGTCATTTTTGTAACCACGTTTTTATTAATTTGTTAACCTTGTTCAACAAAGAAAAAACAATGCTATCACGTTTTAATTTTTTTTACCTCAAAAAGATATGATATGCAGCAGTGCGAATAAACAACAATAGCTGAATTTAGAACTGGCTGAACAAGAATATGAAATAAAATACTTCCAAATGCACCATTCTGAATAAGCACTATTTTTACTTTAGAAACAAATGTTAATTCGACTGATAATTCTTTACTTACACTGAAATAACTTAAGATTCAGCACAACCCCTTCTGTCCCTGGCGGGCTTTTAATTTGAAAAATGTTCTCACCAGCTTTTATTTTGTAGTATTTTGCTAGCATATGTCTTTCCTCCTTACTCTTTTTTGGAAATATTTAAATTGTGTTTAATCAAACTCGCAGCAGCAGGTTAAGATTTGATTGGTGGAACGTCTTCTTTAATGAATGAGTGTTAACGAGGCAGATAATGATCACACACACAATCGCACACACACGCACACACACACACACACACACACACCACACACACACACACACACACACACACACACACACACTAAAGCCTTTATGAATGGCTGCGGTTTTCAGAAGCAGAGGCTACATCTGTACTCCTCCTCTCACTACACTCAATCCTGCATTATTCAGGGCGTGTTGTGAGGCTGAGAGCGCTGACCCAGAAATCAGGGGGAGAAGAAGAAGAAGAGGATAAAGCGACGTGTTTTCACCAGAGGGAAGAAGAGGGAGAGAGATATCTCTGTGTTCAAATATCTCACTTTGAAGGCACGGTATTATGGGATGCATTCACTTCATCGCATTTCGCTTAATTTCTCATCAAATCAGATTGATTTTTCATCTAACTGAAGAATCAATTTGTATTAAACTATAACTACTACTATCTTTATCAACATTAAAATAAAATCAGTATTTCAACTTTGAATAAATGTTGTTTTAAAAAATTCTAGAGACAAGTTGTATTTTTAACTCTTGAGAATTGTTCTATATAAAATATTTAAATGTTCTATTTAGCCTGGATATATTTATCATTGAATGATTAGGTTATACATTTTTCAAATGATGGATACATCTAAGTTTCATTGCTGTTAAACTGCTGTCAATGGAACTTCCTGCCAATATCTTCACGATAAAAGAACATATGAAACATTTTGTTGCCATAAATATTTGTGTTCTACTTTATTTTATTTTTATTTTACTCTATTTATTATTTTTGTTACATTTAATTTTGTAGTTCGTGTTTTTTTCAAATCTGTAATACTTTTTTCCTCTACTGATACAAATGGGTTTTGTGACATTGGGCTATCAAATTAAAATCTGTTCTGATTTGATTAAAGACAACAATCAATTAGAAGTTAAGATAATAGATAGATAATATCACCAGGAATGGGTTTTTAAAGAATATTTATTATTTTGTACATGTTTTTTTGTATGCTTTCAAACCAGGCGTGTATTGTGCTCAGAGGATGAATAAAATTGAAATTGAAAACATCCTTTATAAATTGGATGCTACATGTAAAGAAAGAGTAGAAGAAGAGTAGTTACAGGCAGATGTCACTCACATGTCCCCTGAGGTTTACCTCCCATCCTCTCAGGGTCACTGCATGCACTTTAAATACTGCAGACGAGACTTCACAGCTGCATGCAACACCACAGGGCGGGGGGGGGGGGGGGCGGGTATCAACAGGGAGGTATAAAGGAATAAAAGGGGGAATGGAGGGGAAATCAAGAAGGGACACATATATTTTGGAAGGGTGGAAACAGAAAAAGAAAAAAAATCATCATTTGTCATGCAACAACTGAAAACACCAACATGCAGAAGTAACAGACAACTGAAATAAATGAAACAAAATGGTGTTGACACAGAGCTGCACAACATTACAAGGTTATTGTTTACCCAGAAACATATTTTTACTTTGATTTATTTATTGATCAGTTTATGTTTTCTGCTCATTTTATTTTCCAAAATAAATGCTGCTTCAAAGCCTTTTCACTGACAGTTGAAATCATATCTTTTTTTAATAAAATGAATTTATATTCAAATTACCGATAAAATACAAGTGAGCTTTTAAAGCCAAGCATATTCAGTAGCCGCCCCTTGTGGAATTATATATTTATGCATTCTTACAAACCATGTGTATGGAAGACTAGGACTCATATATTTCACATAAATAAACATTTTGAATTATTTTTGAGAAAAAGGGGACGGAGCATTCCGGAATGTTTTGGGGGACATTTTTTTAAATATTTTGTTTAAAAGAATTGCCGAAATGTTGAAGAATTGTGATGGATTTCATAATTTTTTTTGTTGTTGTAATATTATGATTTAGAAGTTGTAACCTTTTGAGAAAAATGCTTACTATTTTGAGAATAAAGTTATATATATATATTTTATTTTAAAAAACCTGCTTATTGTGAGAAAGTCGAAAATCCCACTATAAAATGAGAAGGTGGAATATTATATGAAATACAGATCCTTTACAACGTCCTTTAGATCCTCCTTTAATGTTTATTCTGGATTAGAGATAACGGTTAGTTGAAATAAAGGATTAAATATGATATTCAAATAATATACATATATAAAGGGTTAAATTAATAAAAACGATAATGCCAGACAGCAAAGGCTCTCCAGTGAAACCTGACCTTTACATATTAGCCTACTGACATTACTGCTGAGTCATGAGGGCGACTGCAAGCTGCAACATCTACACTCTGCTGCAACAGCTCCATGAACCAACACAAATATATTCATTGAATCATATGGAGCTGGGGATATTCCAGTGCTGCCAGATCAATCCATAAAATGCTACAATCAACATTTATATTGTTAAATATGGGTCCATGTGGCCTTGGGGGTGGGGGGGGTTGCTCCTAGGTTTTTTCTTTTTCGTATTTTTTCTTTTGTTAATATCTGAAGCTAAAAGATTGTAGATAATCTCAAGATAAAAGCTTGAACTATTGGAAAAAGTCTCAATATTGTGAAAATAGTATTTTTAAATGTTTTATTTAAAGCATAACTAAGATAATAGTTTGAATATTTTGAGGAATAAATCAGAATATAAAACATTTTTAGAATAAAGGCGCCAACAATTCCAAGTTAAAAGCATGTATAGAAAAGGAGTCCCAATATTTTAAGGAAATATTTGGAACATTTTATCAAAAGTATAGTGTTTATTATAATAGCTCTATGTATTTCTGCATCAATGGCAGCCTGTGTAGATGATATTTCAGAGCAGACACGTGATGTTTTGGAGCTGAGTGTAATTTGCCTTTTTTCTGAGCGTATGAGTAAAAGAGTGAGCATGCAGGTGCGTCTTACTCTCGTCAGGGTTGGGGGCGGCCAGGATGGCGCTGTGCTGCTTCTTCACCTGCTCCACATCCTCTGACAGCTTTTCTATACAGCCTCTGATCTCCTCCACCTGCGCACACACACACACACACACACACACACACACACACACACACACACACACACCACACACACACACACACACACACACACACAACCACACACACACACACACACACACACACACACACACACACATACACACACACACACACGCACACACACACCACACACACTGTATTACACTCTCTACAGAAGCTGAGGTTAAAATTCCATTTGCATTTAAACAGACAAAAGCATGACACTTTGAAATTAAAAGGCCAAAATAAAAGCTGGGTGTGTGTATGTCTCACCTGTTCGAAGAACTCATCCATGAAATGGTCCCTGTCGACCTGCACCACTTCCTCATCATCATCGCTGTCCTTAGCCTGCAGACCCACAGGAAATACACTCGTTAATATTAAGCTGATTCATGTTTCAGACACATGGATGTACAAGGGTTATGAAGCACTAGTTCACATTTCAGACACACAGGAGGTACACAAGTTATTATTATCATGATTCATGTTTTAGACACAGGAAAAACATGAATAAAGTAAAGCTGAGTCATGTTTCAGACGGTAACATACAGACGTTAAAACCTGTTAAGCCCCAAGGACCCCCTCGGCGGGTCCTTTTTTTTTTTGTTCACGACACTGTGTCTCAGGGGATCTTCATATTTAAGAACCTATTAATGTGTAATACCAGATTAATGAGAATAATCTCAGCTAACTGACGATACAAATCATTTTTACCAAAACAAAACACAAGTCTCATAAGAAGCATCTAAATGACCCCTGAGCGAAAAATGCTAACCTATTACTGCACAGATAATCACTCCTAGCTCCCTTGTTACTTATCCTAGGTGCACAGCCAACACATCCTTTATGATCGCAAGGAGACACAGAATCTAACGGTGCCCACTTCAACACTGAAAGATACAAACTCGTGATGTTATCAACAAAAACGTACATCAAAACAAGTGGCACTAGGTAGCCCACAACGCTAACATGGCTTACCTTCGTCTTTGTCTGGTCTAAACTGGTCTTCAATGGCATTACAACGATAAAAACGATGCTGTAGTTAATCCATAGGTTAATACAATGTGTCTGTGTCCCCTTTGAAATGTTCTGATAACCCATAAGCAATAAAACAGCTTTTCCGTTGCTTGATATCAGAGCAGCAATATTTCTCCCCTCTGCTGCAAGATAGCATGCGCAGAGACGCCACCTTTTTTTAACATGAGTGTGTGCGGGACGATTTCCCTTGGATTCTATTGGCTCTAACGGTCAGAAAGAGATGTCACATGTCGAAATCGAACAAGGGGGGCCAGAGATATGGAAAATCCACCCAAATGGCCCCAGAAGAGGGTTTCTTTTGCTAAATCTGTCTAAAAAGGTCAAATGTCACTTGTTTTGCATCAATCTTGATACAGGGTACTTATTATATGTTGTACTTTGGATTCCTAAAGCTTTTAGTCTACTAACCCATCATCCAAGGTTAGTTTTCACTATAAGTACAAAATATATGTTGGACGGACACTATAATTTACAGTTTTTCACCATGTTCAATCTGGATTTTCTTTAAAATAAAACACATGTATATTGATTCTGACCTTTCTACATCCAACTCACAGGTTTATCATTACTTTAAGAAAAAAGATTATTAATTTAACCCTTTTAGAAGGGAAGATATGGTCATTTGTTCTGGGAATGTCATTTTCGAGCCTGAAACCTGAAAAACAGGCTTGGGGCCTAACAGGTTTTTAAAGTAACACTGAATCATGTTATCAAGTTAAAGTAATGGTGAGTCATATTTCAGACACACAAAAATCATGCGTAAAGTAACGCTGAGCAGTAGCGTGGCGTGGGGAAAAATGTAGGGGAAGCCCATTTTTTGGGTCGGGGGGTGGTCAATAACGTAACCAGATGAGTGATTACAGCGCCCGGTATCATTTTACACACATTTGTATCACACAGATGCAGGACTTGCACACGCCTGTTATCTAACCGACAGGTCCGCACGCACTCTCCAGCTGAAACTCTCCTTATTAATTTAAGCATTTTACTTATTAATGTATGCAGACAATCACACAATCTATGTGATTTTTGGATTTACCGTGCCTCTCAATTGCCCGTGACAGGTTGGCAAGGTCGATTAATCCTGAAGTTGCCCAAGGATTGTTCAGGGAGCACGAATCCTTGTCAAAAAGAAGACATGTCCAGCAAATTAGACGCTGAAGTTTAGCGCTTCCAGTTAGCCACTCCGTGCGGACATAATTGTCCTCATTGAACGTCCGATTCTCTCCCTTTTTCCTCTGCGTACACACAGCTCGAGTGCGGGCATTTGCCTGTCATCTGATTTAATTTTTAGTTGCTGCTGTAGCGGAAGTTTAGTAAAGTTATGTTTGATTAAGTACGCCAAATCTCCACCCTCCATAATGCTTAATTTGCTTGATAATTTCTAACGGCGGTGATGACAGTTACAGTATTAAAACTGATGTTGATGTGATTTGATTGGATGGCAGTGTCCAATCAAATCGCCAGCCGCCAGCCGCCTCTGAAGGGAAGCAAGAGGCGGCTAGCTTCCCTTGGCATGGCCCTGACCAATCACAGGTTGGCAGGGGCATCACGTGGGCCTCATCTGATTGGTCAATCCCTCCATTTTTTTTCACCAAGGGAAGCTAGATTCGGCTGGCCTCCTCTCGCAACAGTGAGTGCAATCTACTGTTTCACCATAACATCTAGAGGGGCGCTGTTTGTTTCACTCTTTGTAAAATACTCAATGAGAATGGGGGAGAGCCGGGCCGGCAGCAACACACAGCAAAGGAGAATTATCGAAACAAAACAAAGTGTTTTTATTTATTTAAATTATAACTACAATCCGAAAAAACAGGGGAAGCCTGGCTTCCCTTGGCCTCCGGGAGAAAACGCCACTGACGCTGAGTCATGTTTCTGACAGGAAGTAAACAAGCTAAGTAACGCTGAGTCATGTTTCGGGCACAACCAGCATTATCATTCAAGGGCTTCATTTCCACACAAAAACTATTCTCACATCTTCCATCATTTCAGATGTTTCAATTTTTCCAACAGTAACCGTAACTCTGTTTACGAGAGTTGCAACATCCTGAGCTTAAAACTTTAATAAAAATGTACCTTTAAAAAAAAAAATAATAATAATATTCAATGTTATTTGATTATTGTTCACAGTGGAGTCACGATGGAAACACAATGTTTTCTTGAGGAAATGTACAGTAACACATGAGACAGACAGGCAGCAGGTGAGGCAGACTAAAGCCATCCCTGGATGAGTAAACAGTTTCCAATTACACTGATTGGATTTCTATTGTTGTTAACAGAGACGAGTGTTTACAGTGAGAGAGTGTGTGTGCTTGCAGATAATGAAAAGCTCTTCAGTTCAGGATCAATGTCCTTATTGTTATACTATCAATAGCAGAGAGAAACGGATTAGTATCAAACATTACAGACGTATATGTTCTTATCGTGTCAAAACATATGTTACTAAATACAAATGAAGTTTGGAAAACAAACTGAACATTTGGGCAACAAAAAAGTATCCAACCATCTGATTGGCTGAAATTGTCTGAGGATGTAATAATGTCTAAATGTGGTGATGTGTAGCATCTAAGCTAGTATGCAGGCTTGGGGAGTAACGGATTACATGTAACGAGATTACGTTGAACAAAAAGGGAACTGTATTCGATTATAATTACATTATAAAAAAGAAGTAATCAGATTACTGTTACATTTTTCCAAAAATAGAGATTACTAGCAGGTTTACAGTGTTCCATGGCATATATCATAGGTAGTCGAACTAAATGCATTTTCTTTATGGTTTATATTTAGGCTACTTCTTCTTTGTTCTAAATACATTTATTTTTTAATGCAGAGTGGACACCTGATTTATTATCAAAAATACAGTCTGTGCTTTTGATTAATGTATTAAAGGTCCCATGTCATGGCCATTTCTACTGATCATACTTCCATTGTTGAGGTCTACTAGAATAAATATATATTGTGCAATGTTCCAAACTCACATTGGTTTCTCATACAGCATCTCTGTAAAGTATGTGTATTCACTCTCTGTCCTAAACGGCTTGTTGGAGCTTTTGTTGATATGTGTGGTTTATGCTACAATGTGCACCAATATGTGTAAAAGAGGTTTGCAGACATCAAGTATGAATACACGTTTTATTATTGGTGATGGTGATTTTATGATTTGCTTAGGGCTGCTTATCCTCCAGGACTTTTTCAAGGCTGCAAACAGAAGGAGAGCGTTTGATGTTAGTTTAGTGGTTCTGTCCTGGAGAGATGATCATTTTACAAAATACAGTTACTCAATTACATCTTCGCAAATCAGTTATGAGTCTTCAAACAAATCACGCTCAATTTAAGGCGGGGCCTCTCATATGACGCACACCTGCACACTTGCTTGTCTGTTCCATTCTTAATTCTCCGAATGCTAGGAGGGATTCTTGCCTAGCCTCTGAAGGACCTGACTCGGAATACATGTCCTACCAAGGAAGCGCCCTCGACATTGAGAACACCAGTGTTTAGCTGAGGGTGTTACCCCAGGCTGCTAGAGGACCCTTTACACAAAAGGAGTCTGAGTCAGTATACATTATTTTCCCTTTTCAGCGGCCGGTGAGTCACTTCCTTTCTGGATATTTTTCTTCTTTTGCTAAATTATGTTTCCCTTGGATTATACTTTTTTGCTGTCTTTTGTGGAGTTACATTAGACTTGTTGGACTGGATTATACAGCAGGTTTAAGAAGAATGGATTTCGGGACAAGGCCTTAGAGCAGGGGTGTCCAAACTTTTTTCACCAGCCACATACATACAAATATACGAAGGGCTGGGCCACTCACTAGAGGTGAGGTGTATTGCCTCATAAGTTAAGTTATAAATCAGCCAAATCAATCAAATGTAGGTAAATTATGCTTGTTACTTGAATATGCTTTATGAAAACAAACAGCCTAAATCACAGCTAGGGATCATTTATCTTGTTGGCAGCTCATTCCTTAAAACAGGAGCCTCAGATTGCACATAATAAGAGGAAATAGGAAGGTGTATTTCAAGCTTGCTATGTAAATACGTTATTGGGCTTTTTTCTTATCAACTTTTCATTCATGAATACTACTGTGTATACCGCATTTGGCCCCCAGGCTGTAGTGTAGACACCCCTGCCTTGGAACCTTAAAGACACATTACTCATTACTTGTATTTTGTGTTGGTGCTTACGTTGGAGTTGTCTGAACGTCTTTTGTTAAATTAACTGTTTCTGAGACTGTCAAGGTTTTTAGTTTGGGTGGGAAATGTATTATTTAGGACACACTGATATTATTATCAGCCCCTCTCTTTGCCTTATT